CTGTACAAAGGATGTGCAACCTCAATTGTGCATGATTACATTGGCCCAAAGCCTCCCTAATTTAGGTCTGCACAGGGCTGCCATACATCCAGGACCTTCTGGACATAGCCAGAATTTGGCTGTGTCCAGGCAGAAATAGCTGATATGTCTGGGAAGTGTAGATTTAGGTGAGTTTTCTTTAAAATAGCTCAAAAACTTTTTCTCCTTTGAGATATTCCAAAAAAAGCTCAACAAGTTTTGTGTCCAGATTTTCACTTTTTGAAATATGGCAATCCTAGGTCTGCATCATCTCTAAAGACTTCCTTCTTGAGAATGGAGGGGCAGCATGAACGGGGGGCAGGGGAGGGGGCTGGCAAGAGGCTGACCAAACTTGCTAAATAACTAGGGCTGATGCCCAGAATACTAAACATGCTACCTAAAGCTAAATATCTGTGGGATGGCTGGAGAAAGGCAAAGTTGGGAGATGAGGATTTCCCAAGGAACAGCCCTGCTGATGCTTGTACATGGCAATTAGTGGGCAGAAACTACATCGACCTGCCCCCATTTCGGAGGTCAACCTCAGGGTTGGGACCAAGGGCAAACAGAGAAACAGCATCTCAGCAGGCATGTCTGCGCTACATGATGAGTGCTAATTTGATATATGACTGCTGAACAACTAATGTATGCACAGAAAGCAATTAAAATTAGTGTAGGCAACACTGAATATTAGGACTTTTAATTGGTGTCCATTAAAAATGATGAAGGTGGAAAGCAAGAAAACCCCCAAATAGATTACGGTGGGTTTACCAAAATATGCTATCTTCGTTTTTCTGTTTGCAGATTTAAAAAATAATCATATTTTTTTAGATCTGATGCGTTCAACAGTGTATTGATGTGGCGTTTGCCTATGAAGTTTGTATGTATTCATTTGAAGTTTGTCAACAGTGATTTGTGAGCACATTTCTTATTTGTACAACTGTTTTTATGTACTTTGCTTGACTAACGTTTCCTAAGCAGCTTTGCAATATTTCCACTTCGTAAGTCTGGATGAATATAAAAAGGCTAGAGTGATCCATCTTTAGAGCCATCTCAATGAAACCCAGCTTTGAATGACAATGCTTCACACGGCATGCGCATTTCAGGATTGTGGCTGCTGCACATTCAAAAAAAGATGCCTTTGATGGTAATAAAGTCTGAAATGAATGCAATGGAACACTGATCCAGATCTTGAAGTCCAGCTTGTTACTGCAGTGTGCAGGGTCTCTGTAGGAGACGAATGATCATGTATAACAATGGCTATATACATGTGAAACTCAGTGAAATCTGTACCTGATATTACAATGGCCGAGAAATTGTAAAGAGCAGGTTAATTGCTGCTGGGTATTTAATGACTGCTAGCAAAGTCACTGCTTGCATTTGTCATTCAATATTGCAAAAATGTTGTCTTTTCACTTTCATTTGTGAAAGTGCAACGAAACAAAACATGCAATGTAAGTAAGCTAGTAGAAGATGTATAAATAAATTAAGAAAGCCTTACAAGCTGATGATTTTTCAGAATTTATTTTGTATGCTATCCTGCTCAGCTCTCTGCAAGAATCTCCAGAGATCTCAACATGACGCTGCTGGGCCCTCTAGCAAGACGAAACTGCCTGGTACAGACTCCAGCATCATCCTGAACACTGCCAAGGAAGCAGAGCATGAATGCTGCACCCACTTTGTCATGTTTAAGAAGGGGCGCTCTAGGAACTGCGTCCGCCATCTTCTGGAAGGGATTCTATGATTCCAATTAAAGATGTGCAAATTCCAGGTGGGTTGTACCTTGTGATTTTTTGAATTAATATTGAACAGAGTCACTGCCACATTACAGAATATATTGGAATCTGCTGGCAGGTTTGGAATTATGGTTCCTGGGGATTCATCTGGATCAGATTTCCATACCCCAGAGTCTTTTTTCTGGCCAGATTTGATCTGGGATTGTGGCAATGCTAGACCTGGGCAGAGACTTTGGAACTGGATGCCCAGGTCAGCTCAACTCCTGCTCCAGGTGGTACAAAATACTGCTGTGTCTTTGAAATGCAGCAATGTGTGCCTGGGAGGGGGGATAATGAGGGATACTTCAGAAGTTCAAAACAGTAATTTTAATTTAAATTCAGATACGAAGAAAAATTACTTCTGTTCATCTGAGCAATTTCTGAATTGGATGTTTGTGTGTTTGTAGGAGGCACTAACCTATCTCAAATATCTACTAATTACCCCTCTCACTAGCATCTCATCATTTTCTCTTCCGAGTATCTACATTTTTGAAAATCTTTTAGCTCAACCCCACAAGCTGCAGATGAACAACATGAAAGATCTCATGAGAAAAAAGCTCCTGCTCTTAGATGAAGATGAAAGTCGCCTTTCACAGAGTGATATAGAGAGCCTGGCTCAAGATCAGTGCTATGACTGTTCATTCAGAGGGGCAGAATGAGACTTGGAAACAATCAAACAGGGCAGGATTGACAAAGAAGCCATTAGAAACCCAAAGGAATGCAACTTTTTGCATTTTGTGTTAATGTAGCCCCTCAAAAGGAAAAGTGCTCACAAAGATGCCAGGCACACACTCCTCCATTTTAAAATCACACTTGAATCTTTCCTTGTCCTTCATGTGTTACAACCAGACACATATTGGCCAAAACTATCAATACGGGCCCATAGACTCTTGGAATCAGAGACGGAAATGCCTCATTAATCACTGCATGGAGATAGTAATGCCTTAGAGCAGTCTTTTAGCAATGGCAAAAACCATTTGTTTGGCAAAGGCTTTTCAGTTTAAGAAGAATAACATTCCTGCCTAGGCTAATGGATCTGGCAAAGCTGAAAATTTATAGAGCACATTTACTCAGAAGGAAGTCCTACAGAGTTTGATAGATTTATTAGATGTGTTTAAGATTAGATTCTTAGTTGTTTTACTCATATGTAGTCATGGGAAGTTGGAGAACCCTTGAGCTGCGACATGCAAATGCATGAGAATAACAGGCTGACATTAAGTTTAACGGTTTGCTTGAAACACAATATATGTAACATGCATGGAGTGAGGATCTGCATGAACCATTTTGTAAACAGCCAGTCGCTCTTCAAAGGTCAGTCCTGCAGGTTTCAAATGGGGCTTCGCTCACAGTAAGTATTGTTAGGATTCCAGCTTTTGGGGTGCAACTAGATGCGGTATCAAGAGGCCAGCGATCAGAGATGCCACTTGGTATTTCAAAGTGGAGTAGCAGTTCTGGGGAGGCCCAAGTGGGGCTGCAACACAGGACGATGGATGTGATTCCGGAGTGAGTGCCAGGAACCACCAGCATGGTTTCTTTGCACTTAAGCCAGCCTCTTCGGTGAGAGAAGGGTTCTGAGGGATAGTGACCTCACGAGAGCAGACTGAAGCAGCCGCCTCGGGTGGCTGAATCCCATGGGGGCGGGGTGCCCCACCAGCCCCTGCTACGACCACCAGAGGATTGGTGGCAGCTAATGGCAAGATCTCATAGAACTGAGGCAGTGAAAATGGACACCCCTGGAGCATGGAACCCATTCATGGATACATATGCCGGATGCTTGGTGGGTGGTAATGCATTTTTGAGCTCTCCTGTTGCAGGACTGAGCAGGGGTCCTGGGGGAGAGGGGGGAACCAGTAACAGCACCATCTGCCTGGGTCAGAGGGAGTTCAGGGGACTGCTGTGATTAGGGTCTTGGGGACGGTGAGGTATAGAATGGGGGGTAGGCAATATTGCCATAGAAGAGTGGAGACACTTGACACTTGCTGCCCCTGCTCAGCCCCCAACAGAGACTGGAGTAGCCATGTTGGTCTGCTCTCCCATCGGGTGGCGCTGTTACTTAATGCCAGCTCAATCCGCAATAGAACAGATCTGATCGTGGATGAAGTGGCTGATCTGGTGTGCATGACAGAGACCTAGCTGGGTGAGCTCAGGGTGGGTGGGTGACCTTACCCAGCTATGCCCACCTGGATATTCAGTGCAGCACCAGTCAATTTTGGAGGAGCATGAGGGGAGCATGGCAGTGATCCATAAAAACTCCACCATTTTCACCAGGAGGCCAGTCCATCTGGGAGCTTGACATGAGGGTTTGTATTTGGATGTTGGGAAGCAGAGACAGAACAGGGATCTTGGTGTTCTGTCCACCCAGCTGGCTGAGCTGGCAGAGGTGGTCTTCAGCGCAGTGTTGGAGAACCCCAGGGCATTTGTTCTGAGGGACATCCATGCTGATGCCTTGTCTGGGCCAACTCAAGACTTCATGGCCACCAGGACAACCATGGAGTTGTCTCAATGCATCACACACCCAAAACATACTGTGGGTCATACCCTAGATCTGTCTTTTTGCTACAGAGGGCATTGCGCAGGATCCAGTGATCAGAGGGGTACCCCAAGGAGGAAGGGTGGGATATAAATTCAGTGAATACATAAATAAAATTAAACAAACCCTCTTCCTTCATTCTGTTCTAATCATGAAACTAGGGCCCTCCCTCAAAGCTGCTGCCTCTGCCCCACATGGTACCTGCCTGGCTTGCCCCAATGGGACAAAAACTGGGGAAATTCAGTGGAGGGAAAGATTAAATGCAAATACCCCAGTGGCCATAGACCCCCATGACTGCTATCCAAACACTATGAGATATGTTCATAAATCTCCCAATGCCACATCTGGTGTGACCCTAAGTGTTATTTGTTAGTAGGACTTAAGGGTGGATTTACAAAACCTTATTGCCCACATGGTGATTATGAATATCATCCACCCCCCTTGCAGAATCATCATCTCCATACAATCATATGGACAATTTCAGTGGAGATTGCAATCATCACCTGCAAGATGCACAATTAGGCGGTTCGAATCCACCCCAAGACTTGCATTATAGCAACTAGTTAGATGAGTTAGGCTGATCATACCAGAAGGCAGGTTAACTTAGATGCATGAAGACTACTTTCCATAAAATATAACAAGCAGAAGGGGGGGAAAGCCAAATGCAAGGAAGACCATACCTTCTTGGCATCAGTAGGCGGGTCATCGCTAGACGAGCTTATTTCTGGTATGGACCCTTCCTGCTTCATTCTGCCCTCCTTCTCCTCCTCTTCTTCGTCAGAAGAAACAGCTTTGTCACTGATGTTTCTTGCCAGCTCTTCTAGTTTCCTCCTCAGTTCCTTCTCTTCTATGCTAGGATCAGTAGGGGACTCAGGAGCTGGAGGCTAGCAACAGACAGACAGACAGACAGACAGACAGACAGACCAGCAATACTCAGTTTACTTCAGCCATCCAGTTCATGCTTCAATGTGCCTATCAGGACCAACCCAATACATTTTCCCACTTGAGCAGAACAAGAACATGGTGCCCTGCCTAGTATTCAGAGGTAGACTGTCTCTGAACCTAGGGGTTCTATTGCTTTCCCTGCTGAGGCTGACTAGGCAGGCAAGTGAGCAGCTTGGCTCCCCAGCTGAGGGGGCCTCTAGGTGTCAGGCTGGCACTTGCTCGCTTGTCCACCTGTCCACCTCCATGCATCCCTCCCCCGGCCAGTCTGCCTTGGAGAGCTTTCGTCCCTGTCCAAGCCCCATGCCTGATTTCCCATGGCAACCCACCTGATTTCCCATGGCAAGTTCCGAACTTACATTTATTTGTTCTCGCCCACCCTGCCACGGGGTCAGTGGCAGCCTCTTTAGTAAGCATCACAAGGTGAAAATGATGAGCTCTAAAGCCTGGAAACAAGGACTAACCAACCTTCATCATTTCAAAGAGCAACCCCCCCCCCATATTTACAAGCTCCTATCTATGGAAAGTTTTGCAACCTGAGTCACATTGGGAGAAAGTTTTCCTTTGTTGATAAATTATAATCTGCAGAGACCAAAGACTTTTTCTGGCCTTCATAAATACATGACTATGTGGCATAGCCACCACAGAGTGAGCAATGAATGCAATGACAGCCAGTCCGAGCGTGCTCATTGGCCTCACACGTTTCCCTTTTGCAGGAAGAAAGAAAGAAAGAAAAGAAAGAAAGAAAGAAAGAAAGAAAGAAAGACCAGTTTTTTGCCTTCACTGAACATTTAACTCGGTGGTGTGGAAATGAAGAACCACCACACCATGCCACCTGCCCATGAAGTAGTTTCAATGTGGAGACATAAAATAGGGGTTGTCTTCCACTTATACATGAAATGGGTAGCATAGCTGCTGTTGAAAAAAATCACTAACAAAAAACAGTGTCAAACACCTATTAAAAGCACAGAGAAAAGTCACACTTGCAGCAGTTGCAGCCTTCTTGCCTTCATTGTGTCACGCACAATGTCTCCAAGGCAGTTCTCACTCCACATGACATGGCCAATGCATGCCTTTAATTGCTCACCTGTTCTAAAGGTTTGGAGCACCCAGTGCATGCAATTAGTGTTTGGCAACAACCAACCTGTCTGTGCACCATACGCAGCAGGCCTAAGTGGGTGAGGAAACCTGTTACACACAGGGCTTTTCCCCCAGCCACAACTCACTGGAACTGAGTTCCAGCACCTTTGCCATTCTAAAAGAATAAGGGAGGCGTTCATGGTGAGTTCCAGCACCTCTTTTTCTAGAAAAATAGCACTGTTTGCAACAATATTCACATAGTTAGTGTTTTCAGCGGAATGCATTATTAGGTCAATGCTGGTATTTGTTGTGTCAGGGCACGTTCTTGGAAAGGAGAGTGCTCCATGATGAATTCTGAACGAGGTGATCAGCTTCGAACATGGTGCTTTCTCAGGATGGGAAACTAATGTTTTCTGGGTTTTCTGATCTTCTTATTTTTCCATTTTGCCAATGGATGGTTGACATGGACCACAGTGAGGTGTGTGAGGACCAGACAAGTGGAGGAAGAAGGAGATGAACTATTCACCCATTCTTCCCCAAAAGGAAGTGAATGCTAGTCTTCTCTGACGGCCACAATATCCAAAACACTCCCTTTATGGTATAATAGGATGGACAACCTCTGGGGGGAAAGTCCTCTTTCCTGAGTTTACCTCATCTGGGTGAACCAGGATCTTCTCCTCAAGACGGTTCAGCATGCGCTCGACAGCTGACATGCGTTTGTTCAGGTCAAGAATCTAAGGGAAAGGAAAGACGACAGCATAGGATAGAGCCCACCACCACAGTTTTCTAGGCAGCTAAAGGGAAATTGCAGAATAGCGCCCGCCACCTTTGCCCCTAGATGGAGAAATCAGGAGATCTGCAGTCCCAGCCACTGCAATAAAACAAAAGCAAAAACAGCAGCACAGCTGATTTTAATCCGTTAAAAAATAACAAGACAAGCCTTGTAATACTACCAGAATAACCCAAAAGAATTTGTTTTTTAAGATGTGAGTTAATGTGAGTTATTTTTTCCTGGTTTTTTTGCACTTGCAGACTGTCCATGTGAACTGATACACCATGTACTGAGACTGGGAGGCCTTGATTTAAGTTCCAGATCAGTTATAAACTTGTATACTTTAACTTGCTCCCCTTTTGGGAACTAAATGGGAAAAAGGTTTTGGCGAAGATAAATGAAGTGAGTAATATAAATTTCTTCACACCGTAAATGTGCAGTGGAAATTACTGGACTCAACAATGCCAGATTATTTATAGGTAATCTTTTTCAGGCTTTTCACACATGGGTTCGACACTCAAGTTCCCAAAAACTACAAATCTGTTACCCCAATCAAAGCACATGTGGTAAAGGAGAAAGCTGCTCTATGGTTTGTGGCTTCCATATGTTTTATTTCATTTCTCAAAGTCCTCCCCTTTGCATTCCCTAACATCCCTGATACAGAGGAGCAATGTGCAGTTGGTGGATCAGGACATCAGTATTTTATTTAACAACAAAATTCTGGGATGGTGGCTTTAAGAGCAGGAGAGTAGTAGCAATTTTGGTGAAAATATACATTGCAGTTTGCTATATCAGATTACGACCATTTTGTGCTAACATATTCTTCCCAGGATCACCATGAAAACAATGCTTACATAGCGCAAGTCCAGCTGCGAAGAACTGCATCTTTCAGTAATACAGACTTTCATGCATAATTCCTAAAAGGGGGGCTTAAGGGGAGAATGAAGGAATAACAAGGACTTGGACTTGTTCCATTGGAAGGTGAACAATAAAGTTTTTTATTTGTTACGTGGGAAGGGAGGGAATGTCCAGATTGTGCAAGTTTAACTGCCTTTCCCAATAACTTCCAAAGTTTGAGTTTTATATGAAGTTTGAATGCAGGTCTCTCCTTCTCCAGACGGGGGGACAGGAGACAAAAGAGGGAGCTGCCACCAGTGAGGGCAACTCCCTCTGTTCACCTGGGGCTCAAGCATACAGCAAATAACACCATGTTATATCTTTCTGTGTTTTTATATTGTAAGCCACTCTGGGATACTTGTATGAAGGGTGCTTATTATTATTATTATTATTATTATTATTATTAGTGTCATCAATGTAATTGATAATTCATACTTATGTGCCAATGCCTTGTCTAACTCGTGAGGAAACATAATTCTCCTTCTCTTTCATACTGTTTCTGTTGCTTTGCTTTTTTAAAATGAAATGAGGAAGAGGTGGCTTATTGTGGTTGCAGCCCAATCGTGAGCCTTCCTCCACCAAATCTGTTTGCCCAGATGCCTCACTGCTCTCTTCGGCATCCGGCTAAGTAATAATAATACTAATAATTTATTATTTATACCCCACCCATCTGCCTGGGTTTCCCCAGCCACTCCGGGCGGCTTTCAACAGAATATTAAAATACAATAGTCTATTAAACATTAAAAGCTTCCCTAAACAGGGCTGCCTTCAGATGCCTTCTAAAAGTCTGCTAGTTGTTTTTCTCTTTGACATCTGGTGGGAGGGCGTTCCACAGGGCGGGCGCCACTACCAAGAAGGCCCTCTGCCTGGTTCCCTGTAGCTTTGCTTCTCGCAATGAGGGAACCACCAGAAGGCCCTCAGAGCTGGACCTCAGTGTCTGGACAGAATGATGGGGGTGGAGATGCTCCTTCAGGTATACTGGGCAGAGGCCGTTTCCCCTCTTTGCCCACACTTTGTGAAGTGATTCATTTGCATTGGTTAAAAATGCTTGAAGGGCACATTTGCTGCTGCCTATGTATTTCTTGATTCTTTTTATTTATAACTAAAATAATGTTGTGGGTTGTAGGGCGGTATATAAATTTTAACAACAACAACAATAGGACAATAGACCCCCTGAGTGCTTTTACAGTAGGGCCTCTTATGCTTCTTATGCTTTTGTGATTAATTGCCTCATTTTTTATTAATTCCCTCATGGATAATTTTTACCATATGGATCTGCATAGCAGATTAAAGCACACTGGGAAAGATGATTGTAAAATTGGCTAGGGTCAAAGTAATGCTGTAATCCATATCCTTAATTGAAAATATTTTCTAATGGATCTTAATATGCAGCCTGGCAATGTTTCATGAAATTCTGAAGTGAGTTTTCAGCAACCGAGTCCAGCTACAAGCAAGCACAACATTGATCAAATCTTTTGACAAATTAACCAGATGAAGCTGGCAATCTCTCAGATGGAAAACCAGAGAAACAAATACTTTGTAAAGTCTAGCACAAGTGACTTTGTGGCAGATTAAAGGGCATCGGAAATCAGAAATATGAGTTCTCTCTGCCATGGTTCCAGTTTAGGATTTGCTGGCTCTATTTTCTCTAAGCCCTTTCCAGGGCTGAATGAAGACCAGAAACATCTCCCCTTGTGGGTTGGGAGAGGAGATGAGGGGAGGGGTGGCAGAGGGAATGGGTGGTCCGTGCTGGTGGGGGTATTTTAGGATGGGCCGGTTCCTCCTCCATCTGCTGTGGGAAATGACAGTCATGGGGCTGAAACTCCTCTGTAGTTCAGCGTGTGTCAGAATATTCTAGTCACCTAAGTTTAGCCACTAATTTTTAAAAGCTCTTTTTCAGTTTTCAATTAAAGAAAATGAGCTTATGAGAAGGGCTTCCCTTCCTTCATTCCTATCCCAGCTTTCTTCCAAATACACGGTCCTTTTTCCTGTTCATATAAGGGTCAATCACACAGCCCTCCTCATGCGCACTGAAGCCGCATCCCCTGAGGTTCATGTGGTGCAAGAAGGAGCGTTGCAGGTTTGTGAGGAGTGTTGGCACACCCTGCCTCTTCTCCCTGAATGCTGAATTGCTGAGAGGAGGGGAAACGGGAAACCAGTTGGGAGACGAAAAGGAATGTCGTATCCTGGGAAAGGACAGAGGAAGAGACGTACAAGGATGCGAAGGAGAGAAGAGACAAATGATGTGTTGTCTGGATGGGTCATTTCCTGACACATAACGCTAGTAGACTCCTGCTCCGAGAGCCCATTCTTAGGTAGCCAAAAGGGCCGCACCCACAAACAAGTGGCAGGTATTGGTAGTTTGGGGAAAACCCAAGGTTTGAGTAAGTTTAAAAATTTTGAGAAAGAAAGCTGGGGGGGGGGGAGATGGACCCATCAAATAAGATGACTGAGGACAGAATGCTGTTTGACTGCTGTGGGGTGGGAGGTGGGGGGTAAGGAACCAAGGAGAGCAGAAATGACACTGAGTATATCTGAAAAACAAATGACTGGTCAGCTGGACCGAAGCACCTGAGCACTCCATGCGTCAACATTTTGTCGGAAGCTCCTCATGCAATTCTGAAGTGCGGAAGCCAACTCCTAGGGGCCGAGCTCCCTTTGCTCCCCAGTAAAATAGTTGAGAGGGACACAACCCAAGTTGATGCGCACTGCCATTCAAATGGTGCGCATGCACCATGTCTTGTGATCAGTTATGTGGAGCGGGGCTTACCTGCCCCCTCCCCATTTTAATCAAGATGGCACCCCTGTAAGCATCTCCTAGCATCTTAATGACTAGTAAAGGTAAAGGGACCCCTGACCATTAGGTCTAGTCGTGACTGACTGGGGTTGCGGCACTCATCTCGCTTTATTGGCCGAGGGAGCTGGCGTACAGCTTCCAGGTCATGTGGCTCTGGCGAACCAGAGCAGTGCACGGAAACGCCGTTTACCTTCCCGCTGGAGCGGCACCTATTTATCTACTTGCACTTTACCTGCTTTTGAACTGCTAGGTTGGCAGGAGCTGGGACAGAGCAACGGGAGCTCACCCCGCGGGGTGATTCGAACTGCCGACCTTCCAATCGGCAAGTCCTAGGCTCTGTGGTTTAACCCACAGCGCCAACAGCGTCCCATCTTAATGACTAACAGATGCCTAAACCTGCTTGCCTGTGCATTGAGATCCGCAGGAGAGGCGCCTTTCGCTGTTTTGTTGAGATTACACAAGAGATAGCTGGCTTTATCATTGTTTAGCATTCATTACCAGCTACTCCTTCAGAGGGTGGGTGTGGCTGCTAAATGTTTTTTGCACGAATGTGTTGTGATTCAGGTAATGGCTGTTTGCATTGTTAGATTGCATTGCAGTTTATTGTTTGAAGGTTGTTGCAAGCCACTTCAAGGGCTATGCCAGGGAGCTGCGTAATAAGGGGGATAAAACGGTGTCAAATTCCAGAGTCTGCCATGTGAGTCTGTTGCAGCAAATATAGCAAAAGGTCTTCTGTTGCAAAGGCTAAGGAGGTTAAGGGGTGATATGATAGCCATGTTCAAATATATAAAAGGATGTCATATAGAGGAGGGAGAAAGGTTGTTTTCTGCTGTGGGGTGGGAGGTGGGGGGTAAGGAACCAAGGAGAGCAGAAATGACACTGAGTATATCTGAAAAACAAATGACTGGTCAGCTGGACCGAAGCACCTGAGCACTCCATGCGGCAACATTTTGTCGGAAGCTCCTCATGCAATTCTGAAGTGCAGAAGCCAACTCCTAGGGGCCGAGCTCCCTTTGCTCCCCAGTAAAATAGTTGAGAGGGACACAACCCAAGTTGATGCGCACTGCCATTCAAATGGTGCGCATGCACCATGTCTTGTGATCAGTTATGTGGAGCGGGGCTTACCTGCCCCCTCCCCAGAGAAGCGGACATGGAGCAATGGATCCAAACTACAAGAAAGAAGATTCCACCTAAACATTAGGAAGAACTTCCTGACAGTAAGAGCTGTTTGACAGTGGAATTTGCTGCCAAGGAGTGTGGTGGAGTCT